TCCTCAGCGTCCTTAGGAGTTTGCAGGATCAAACTGTTTCTGGGATCAGCAGGTAGGAAGTCACTTTCAACTATGCCGACATAGTGGCTTCAAGTAAAACCATTAAACGTGTGAGAAGTGTTTCTAAACCTTCTTTGGGTTACCTCATCTGCTCACATGGCTCCAACTACCCACCTTTACACCAGTGACTCTCAAATCTACTTCTCCCACTCCTGACTGGTCTCCATGTGTCTAATGCCTCATCTCAGCCCATCTCTCCAGCCTCTCTTTCTAGATATACCTCACTGACAAAAACTTAACAGGGCAGAATGTGAATTCCTGATCTTTCCTCTCAAAGTCTTATCTTCACCCCATTCTCAGTCACTGTTGAAACGACAAGATGATTGTTGTGATTCATTCACGCTCATAATCTAGGTGGTAGTCAGACTTCTTCCTCGCGCCACACATCCAATCACAGTTTCTTCCTCCATAGCATTTCCAAAATCTGACCTTTGCACACTCTCCAGTGTTAAAGACTACCTATTGCTTTATTTCTCATCTGGAGTAGTGCAACCTTTTCCTTTCTGGTCCCCCTCATTCACATTCTTCCCCTCATTCACATTCTTTCTGAATGTCCATTCAAAAAAAGTAGCTACTAAGATCATTGTCCTTCCACATTATTTTGACCACAACAATAACACACTCTGATTTTCTCCACTGGCTTCACTGCATCAAGTGGAGTCTTCTTTTGCTTGCTCTTCAAGCGCTTCCCAATTCTGACCCTTCCTGTCTGTTCATCTCAATATATCAACCCCACTCCACTCCACTAATTCTAGTCTCATCTGAGTATTTATCAGCTGCTCCCACAATTTTCTCCATGTCTTCAATGCTGCCTGTTATACACAGAACACGCTCACTGAATTAATTCACACAAACATTTCTACCTCCAACGATTGACTGGTTCGGCGTCAATCAGGGATAGCTGATATTTGTTTATAATTAGATAAAAATTAACCCAGTAAACACAGACACGCAAAGAAACTTCATATTAAGCAATACCTTATCTATGCAACTGTTACTTTATTGGTTACTCCTGCCCTCTCCTTCCCTTTTAGTTTGTCACTGACTTGTTGCACATATAGATTGCGAACAGATCAGGGCAGCGACTGTCACTGGCTATTTTTACAGTATCCATCACAATGGAGACCCAATTCTGACTGGACCCTTCAAGTGCTACTGCAATATCTATAAAATCAGAGTTCAACTACTAGAGGACCTGGTCCTTGGATTGAAACCTCAGTTAGAAAGGAAGAAATACGCCTCAAGACCAAACTTGGGCCTGGAAGGCAATCTTTGGGGGAAAAAAGTAAATGAGTTTTCTGCAAAGAGTGATCCACAGGGGATTTCTTTAAAAACCAAACAACCCAGAATTAACTGTGTGTGTATTACTTAGGAACAAAGTTATATTAGCACTTTACTACTGCAGCATCACTTTATACAGCTCAATAGCATGCAATTTACCAAGCACTGGACAATCCACATAGAAATTGGCACCTCCCACCTCTCAGAAAAGGTTTAATTCATAATATGAGGCCTATGGTATATCCTAACATGTAATTATTTTGACAGGTTACCTCCTAATACTAGTACATATGCTGTGGCACATCAAACAATTAAAGCCAAGTGACACTTAAAAGATAACTACACTTCCTGACCTACATACAGCCCTTGGTTTTCATATTCTGTTTGTTCCGATACTTGTTAACTTGCAAGATTCAGTCGTGCACAACAATTCTTCCAGTCATTAATACAAATTAGAGAGGATCTACAACAGCGGTGAGCAAACTACGGCCCACGAGCGGTTTTAAGCCAGCCTACAAGCTCCCACTGGGAAGTGGGGTCTGGGGCTTCCTCAGCTCTGGCCGGGGCGCAAGGTCAGAGGCCACACCATGTGGCTCCTGGAAGCCACAGCATGGCACCGCACCAGCTCCTACGTGCTCCAGTGGCCCCCTCCGGAGCTCCAATAAGAGCTGAAGTGGTGGTGCCTGAGGATGGGGCCACCTGGCGGCATAGGAGCTGGAGAGGGGACATGCCACTACTTCCCGGAGTCACTTGAGGTAAGCGCCGCTCGGAGCCTGCACTCCTGAGCTTCTCCCCACACCCCAACCCCTTGCCCCAGCCCTGATTCCCCTCCCACTCTCCAAACCTCTCGATCCCAGCCCGGAGCACCCTCCTGCATCCCAAACTCCTCATTCCCAGCCCCACCCTACAGCCCGCACCCCCAGCTGGAACCTGCACCCCTTCCAGCACTCCTGCCCCAATTTTGTGAGTATTCATGGCCTGCCATACAGTTTCTATTCCCCAATGTGGCCCTCGGGCCAAAAAGTTTGCCCACCTCGATCTACAGTAACTAAAACAGCAAGTACTGGGTCTTTAGGACTCACATCAAAAACTGCAACAAAAGCAGTAACAGTCAACATGAAAAGGAACTACTGGCCTCATTTTCTTATTGCATTCTACCAAGCACGCTCATGAAAGGTGGCACCATGCTGTTGGCAAGATGACCAAATCTGGAGATTACTTTTGTCTAATGTTACTGTCTATAGGGAGGACTAATCCGCATCAATATTTAAAGTTCACACAGATTAAAATAGATTACAGCCTGTTTGCTTATGGTTAACAAAATGCATCAAAACTACCTTTCAGCGGGTCTATTAAAAGGGATTACCACTGATCATGGAAAAAATCAAATATGTCACAGCAGACCATCAATTTTTCATGGAAATCAAAGACAATTACAACTGATTGACAAGTTCATCAAATATTAACATGGAAGTTGAAAGGTAATAAAAGGGCAAGAGACTTGTGCGTATTCAATACACAGCAAGCACTCACATGTCAATATCGTATGGCCCTGACTTCTATCACTAAGTAACGCTAGAGCAAAGGACAGATGTGTTGTTTGCCTGGAATTAATAAAAAAGGAAGAGTGTTTAGCCTCTGCTGTCACTGTTCTGCTACTGGAAACTGATCTGTCATCCAAGTTCGAGATTTGTGTTACTGTTAAAAAGAAAATACATATGTTGGTAACGTACCACTGAAAAGTAAAAGCTTATCTATAAAACTTATGCTTTAAAATATAAATTCATAAGTCAAATTTAATAGCATGTTGTCTATAATTACAACATACGCATCCTTCAAGCTAGTCTCTGATTAAATGAAATTCCTCACTGAATGAGTTATTTCGTATTTAAGTGAGTAACTAAAATGACTGAAGGCAGAAATATTAGACTTCTTAAAGAATGTTGATTATGGGGACTTAAATGCTACTGGAAAAGATCACAACCACTGACAGGAAAGTCAACTAAAAACAGTATTATGAAGGGAAGCTGAAGGTCTTCTCATACAAAGGTAAGACTAAAAATACAATCCAATTTAACTCCACTCTGACTAAATACTGCTAGGTTCAAAAAGGAGTATATAAAGGATGGGTAACAAATGCAGTGACACCAAGGCACAACTAAGATGATTGAGAGAGAGTGGGAAGGAAGTACCCAATTTATTTTCATCCTAATATAGTCAGATGGTTAATGTTAACCGAATGTACTATTTTTTTAAAATCAGTATTTTGAGAACTACCAGTCTGCTACATTTTACATACTCGGAACAAATACTATAATTGTACACATGCCTGCTCACATACAGTGCGAAAACATGCATGCTGCACAAATGCCAAATGCAGTGGCAGCCAAATAATGTCATATTTATCAGTTACTTCCTTGAAACAAATAGAAGCTATCCAAAAAGTAAGTATGGGATTTCAACATTCCTTTTTATTGCAAGTATGTTATGTTGCTTTTATCATTCTCTATAATGTAATATTCTTTTAAAAATGCATTTTAATATTTGTAATCAATAGGAAAGACTAGAAGTCATGGGAGAAGTATATATACAGTGAAAATTAACAGGCCAGTTGAGGGATAAATTTTGATAGAGAAAAGAGTATGGATTGAAAAGTTGTCTTATGTCCACTTGATGGCCTATATGAAACAGTTTTTCATTCTCATTCCTAATGTACAAGTGTTCTTGATAACACACCACAACTGATTCTCCTGTTGACAGCTTCAGCAATTGGGAGGTGGGTGAGGCCAACCAAAAAAAAAAAGAAAAAGAAAGACCGAACTGCAATAAATGCAAAATTATTCTCCCTCTATCCACCATGGGAGAATATTTCACTCACCACAAGGTCACTACTTTTGTGAAACTCACTAGGCACATACCTGTTCTTAATTAAGTTGTACACATTAAAAGAATGTGTTTTGAATATAAAATATTTTCCAAAAGGAATAAGCATATTTTAAGACAAGTGTAAAATTCAAATAATCTGGGATACCTTTAAAATAACTTTATTCATTGCTTAGACACAAATTTGATTTTATCACTTGAGTATTTAACTAATTAACTTTTTTTTTTAAACCCAAGTCTGTCCAAAAAAAATTTTGTTTCCTGCTTCTCTATATTTTGCTTTGGGTTAAGATAATCAGGTATTATAAAACCACATTTTAAAAAAAACAAACGTTTTACACTGATTTCGTATCTAATTGTCAATTGTGTGCATTTAATAGCCAGTTGAAATCTTTTAAAAAGCTGCTCCATTTCCATTCAGCTTTTTAATACTGCATCGGGATAAATGCAATCAAAATTATTCTTAATTCCTGTCAGAAGAAAGGAATTTATTTCTAAAACCTCCTGTGAGGGGATATTTATTGTGGGCATATGAATTCAAATAACCAATAAAATAGTGGCATCCTGGAAAGGTATTAGAAGTGCTTTCTGTGGTTCACGTTGGACAGAACAGAGTTGTTATGCTTTTTGTAAATCTTCCAAGCATGCTGAAGCCGCAGACTGATTCCACCCACCACACAAGTCAGGATTTTTAACTAAATGTGGTCCTAGGTAAAGTGTTATCTTTTCTGAATTAAAAGAACTGTTTATTTTGCTAGATACATTCAATTGCTTACCCACGATTCATGGTACAAAACTGTGAGGAGGTAGATTCCATAGTCATAATTCTGTCTCCTTAATGGACACCTGAAATTTAAAAACCAAACAAAAACAAATTTAAAAAACTATTTTGAAATAGTCGCTATTCTGTTTTTGGAAATTAAGAATAAGTAGCTAAGATTTTTGTTTGTTTGTTTAATCTGTGTCCCCAGACTCTGGGAAGGTTTTGTATCACTTCAGTTCCTAGTTAATTGTTCATGGCACATTTCTGAATAAAATTTGATTTATACAGATTTTTAGGCTTTTAGTGTGATGTCAAGGAAATATTTCCTTCAGTGACTGATCTGCACCTGGCCATTGGGAGAACATTATGACAATAAACTAGAACCGATGGGGCACATATTCAGCAACCATTCAAGTCTCTGCACTCTTGGCCAGAGCCAGTCTTCAAGGAAATTCTGTTTTCAGCGAGCACAGGTAAGTGTAGACAGCATGAGACTCTGGTACTGAGAAAAGTATATTGTTCAGTTAGCAAATGAAGAAAAACTAATAAAACTTTAAAAACAACATTAGCTTCTAATGTAAGAAAACTTAGGTCAACCTAATACCAAAGTTAGAGAAAGATGCCCCAAGTGTAAGTAGCCAGAAAGGGAAAGATACTGCACAGACTATAGTGTGCGCTTCTTTTGCCTCATGGCCAAGTGCTTTAGGTATGCAACAGGAACAAACAGGTTATGGATCTCAGAACCCAAGTAATGTATCTTGGGATCAGAGGTGCTGATCTGGAGGTCCAGAGGGAGACTGAATTACTTCCAGAAATAACATAAGGACAATAGGACAAGCTGTCACAATCCTTTAATTGATGAAGCTGGTGTTAAACACACTGTGCCTCCAACTCTCTCTCTCATTCACTAACTCCTGCAACGTATCTGTGGGCTTCTTTCCAGGCTGAAAGGTGGGGTGCTCATCATCGGTTTTTCCCTTCTCTACTGAGTTACAATAGGGTGCAGGAAGGAGAGTCATTCTGTCTTACGTGATCTCCTGGGCTCAGGTAGGGCCAGTACAGCACCTCTTCTGCTCCAAGCTCTCAGGTAGTCCCACAGTCCAGCAAAGTAGGCAGTGCAGCAGCCAGTGACTCTTTCCCACCTCCCTCCATAAGGCAGGAGGTGGTGTCAGCAGGGGACGTAGTACCCCTCCTACTCTGTTTTCCCAGTGTTGGACCCAACTTCACCTAGAAGTTACCACCAACCTCTATAAAAGTTTGAATGAAAAGGGAAATACAAGTCTTAATTCCCAAGCCTAAAAATGTAAACGTACTAATAAGTTTATACCACCAGTCTCTGGATCAGGAAAGATATTGCATGTGCAATGCTGAGAGAGATCCTAGAGAAAACTAAAATTTAATAAACTAGTAATAATGCTTGATTCAAGTACCCACTTACAGAAAGTGTACAAGTGTCATACCAGGACAGGGTTTAGAGAAGCTATTTCTCAATGTCTTAAAAGGACTGCTTTTTTGGAAAAGCTCTTCTACAGCACACAAGAGGAGTAGCTACGCCAGATTTAGTACTAAGTAAAACACAGGAGCTGAGTCAGTAAGTAATTATAGTTGACCCACTAAATAACAGTGGGAGTAGATTTAAAATAAAATAGAAGGCTACCTCAAAAGACCTTAATTTAAAAAAGTGAGGAAGTTAAAATCCTTTCACTAAGCAAGGGAATTACTTAAGCATTCCCTATAAGAATCACAGAAGATATGTATAGGTGGCATGCCCCCTTAACTCCCGTAAAAAAAGCAGGAAAGAAAAAAAACCCAAATCACACTACGATTACATGGCAACGGACAAGAGTATTTGAGTCAAACAGGCATCCTTCAAAAATTGAAATCCAGCTAAAGTGAAGCCAATAAAAAGGAACCAGCTATGGAAGGAAAAAATGTAAGATGGGCAAGAGGGAATTTTGGAAGAAAATAACTAAAGGGAAAAAAAAGAGGTAAGAAGTTTTGCAAGTATTAGAAACAGGATGCCTACAAGAGAATCATGGGGATACCAGGGAGCAAGGGGGCTAACTGATGACAAAGAGATTGCAGAGAAACTAAAATTTCTTCATTACAAAGGATATTGTGGTCAACCTGTTCTTTTTAGGTAAGAAAGATAAAGCTTTGTCAGAGACTAAGTGTGGAGTACGTCTTCACAGTTAATGTAGGTGATTGGCAACTGGATCTGGGCACCTGCTAGCCTTGCCTGGGTGTAAGGATCCCCGCAGCAAAAGTCCTACTTGCGTTACTGTGTTTTCTGTTTCTGCACTGAACCATGTGTGTCTGAGGACATATCCCACGATTCTGCATGCTAACACAACCTAGGATTTTTTCCCTGTCAACTGCAAAAGAACGTGTCTGTTCTTTGGGCGAATTGTGGGACAGACACCGAGGACTATCAGCATGCGATTGACTGCCTGTATCCTCACTTCAGAACGGATAGGTGACGACCTGAGCTAAACTGGAGCATGGGCTCTAACCTTTACCCACAACTGATTAAGTTAGCCTGGGCTTAAAGTACCTGCAAATCAGGTCAGATGTTTTTAAACCAGGGCAGGATTTCTTCTGTGAGGATGGTTGTAGAACACAATCTGTTCTTTTTGTGCATCTGGAGACGTGTCTGTTAATTGTTGCTGCTTTTAATTTCCACTAACCTTGTGGAGCAGACAGAATTAAGATTGAGGGTGTTGGTTTCCATGCCTTCTGCATTAACAAAACAGCTCATCAAGTTAAAGCAGCAAGACCTGTGCAAATTCATTAAAAGCCATGGGATTACACAGGTGTAATTGACTCATCTGTCCCGCAGAAACTTATTATTGGCGATGCTCAACATAGGGACAACTCCTTTTGACTTACAGAACTAGATACGTGGACAACCAAGGCATGAAAGACGTCAAGATCACAGCATGTTAGCAACGGTCACAAAGGTAAAGTATACAATCTACTGTTTAAACTAGCTTAAATTGGAGTTAAACACTTGCCAACCATTGTCCCTACTCCGCAACACTGAATCTAATTTCTCACTATTTAAAGAGTGAATATTTCTTCAAAGAACAAATCATTTTTACATTATTACTTTCATAATAGCTGCAGAAGCCTTCAATTTCTCTATTTGTGCCCACGGCTTGCTTTTAGTTTAGTGTAATTAAAAAATATCCAGCCTCCAAATGGGAGCTGGGCCAAACCACCCTGCCACCAAATGCAGCCTGCCTCTACCACCACCTGAGCAGCTTTGAGAACATATAAAATCTTGCTTCACAGGATTTTAACTGGGAATTTTTGAGGTAACAGTTTGACTCTTAGTTATTTCTTAAAAATAAGATTGAGCACAAAGAGAACTGCACTGAAGGAAAAACTAAGCATCAGGAAAGCAACCTAAAATTTTTAAAAATAATATTAAACAAATGTAAGTCTTGTGATATACGAACGTAATAGATTTCTCTCCCACCTCTAGAACATAATCAGCACAAAGTATTGTTTTCCAGTACCTTCCTGCACTTGGAGGTTCTTTACAGCCCCCTGGTGGAAGATGTTTTCATAAAAACAAATAACCTTAATAGAAATGCTTCAATCAACTAATAAATTACAACCACTAAAACTTAAAGGACATAATAGTTACACACAATAACCTAAAAAGCATGAGCCAAAGAACGTACTAACAACAGTACTGAGGATAAAATGGGAAATAAAATTAGGAATCAGTGTTGTCACCACATATGCATATTTGGATGACAACCCTCAAAACGTTTGGACAAAGTCTGGGATATATACATAAACCTGTAACTGAAGTAGTGTATCTAACTAGTGTTCCAAACGAAATACACAAAATGCAGGTGTCCATGATTAATTCTAAATTTATCATAATTTGCTTCATATTTCTGAACACAGCTAAGTTGTACTTTTACTTTCAATTAACTCGAGAAATGTTAAAAGCTTTTTTATTCCTCAAGCAAAAGTAAATACTTGTGCTATGTACTTTGCTGACGCCATGAAATTTGTCTGAAGCTCTTCTGAACACCACAAGCCATTTGGAAAGGATATTTAATGAATTTTGAACTTGCAACTGCCAGATTATTGGAAAAATAAATTACTTCTGCAGGTGAAATGAGATGTATCATTATTTACAATTCTGATGCAAATTTCCCAAAGGCTAGTGTCTAAAATTCATAACTGATAACCATGATTAGAGAGCTTAGTGTCAGCATCAAAGCTAGTAAGGTGTTGACACATTGAAAAGCCTTGTATGTTATAACTGAATACTGAACAAGTTGCATCATTCTTAATCAGCGAAAAAGACAGTTACTTATCTGTACTGTAACTGCTCTTCAAGATGTGGGTGCAGACACGTATTCCATTCAGGTGTGCACACCGCCCAGTGCACCAAAGTCAGAAAACACTGCGTAGCAGTGCCCATACAGGTAGTGCTCATAACCACTGGCCTTTTAGGCCCTCCCCAAGCTATTTAAGGGCAACACAACTCTGACCTCTCGGTTCTCCTTCATACCAAACATCAATAATTGAGACTTTAATGGAGAGGGGATGTAGGGTTGGTTGTGAAATAAACATCTGCATCCACATCTTGAAGAATAATGTGACAGGACAGGTAAATAACCATCTTTTCTTCGAGTGCTTTGCAGACATGCATTCCACCCAGGTGACTCCAAAGCAGTATCAGGAGGAGATGGGGCTTGGAGTCTACTTTAAAGAGCAACTGCAAGAATGCCTTCCCAAAATTCAACTCTGATTTGCACATGATCGTGATACCATAATGTTTGGTAGAAGTAGGTATGGAAGACCAAGTAGCAATCTTGCAAACATGAATAAAGAAACATCACTGAGAAATGCAATCTTGGCCAAGCTGGTGTGATGAGACTCAAGATGATATGATCCAGCTTCATCTCAGGAATGACTGGGATTGGGGAAAAGCATACATCAGGACTGATCCACTATTCAGATTAAATGAATTGCTCAGGGAACATGGACTGAGACCTACTCAAGACCTGCACTGCTTGTTGTCCTTCATTGCAAACAGATGCAAAGATGGACCTTA